AAAAAAGATGCATAAGTCGATCCCTAGTTCTTAGAAAAGATCATTGTTTTTGAAGAAGGTTAAAGAGGAATGATATTGATCACCTCATTCATAGGCATTACGGATTTTCTAAATTCTTTTTAACTTACCTTTAAATGCTCAATGTCTTTTGGCTTTAGGTCAGACAGGAGGAAGTTAGGTGGATTGCTGGGATTGACATGCACTTCCACCTGAAGAAAAGAAATATCATATCCATAAAGCAGGGCTGTGAAATGAGGAAGAGAAAATCTGAGGAAAGTTAAGGGGGGGGGGGGTGTCTAGGGGTGAGAGGTCTCGGGCCTGATCCGTACTTGATATCTTGGTGGCATAGCACGCAGTAAGCCTTGCCCGGTTCCTTGATTTTACAAATGTATTCATGCAGGTACTCGTTCCTGACTTTATGTTCAGGCCAAACGACGTTGCAATGTCATAAATATAGGAAATAAGGCAATGTCGTTCGTCGGTAAAATTCACGTACGCGGTGCCAGATGACGCTATTTTTAGCCCGCGTTTAGTCCTGATCGGCTTTGCCGAGTTGCAGTCAAAACATGTTCTACGCTCAGCTGGCGTTAAACTCCGCGGGTCCGGCTGTATTGTGCCACGGTGTAGGAGGCACTGTTGCCTCGCAAGGCTATTAAAGCCAAGTAGACCCCTCTCCCTATCCCCCAATGATTTTTAATGTAAAAATAAAAGTTTTGTGAAAATCATATTTTTCACAATAGAATCCACGGAAATTTCACAGCCCTGATAGAGGCCCAGTGAACATTTGTTGAATTCACAGATTTGTGTATGGAATGGTCTATTGACAGGTGATGTTTTAAAAGAAAGAAGTTAACTAACCTTGTAACCATCTGTGTCAGTGATCTTGTGAGAACATTTATGCAGAGCGCTGGCTGCAGTTGCATTGTCCAAATAGAAATGGGCTCGGCTATGGTCAACATGGTACTGGAAGAGCAAAGCGTAACGTAATGGAAAACAACTCATCAAAACAAAACTAAAACTTTCTACATTGCGCCAATGACTTGAGGCGTGTTTTTTTTTTTTTTTTTTTTTTTTAGCATTAAACAAATGGTAATCAACAAAGATGCTGCACCTTACCTGAACAGGTGTGTAAGTTACAGAGCAGATGTTCTGAAGCGCCGTCAATAACCATTTCTTGTCATATTTTTTTCCATGAGGAATCTAGGGAAAAACATGATTGACAGAGACAAGAAGATTAATGGTGCGAAAGGAACGTGTAACTGATGTGCTAACTAAAGTGATACACACGGTCACTTTGAACCAGGTGCCACAGTTCCTGCCCCCACCACCTCTGTCTCCCCTGAAGCCGCCTCTGCCCCCTCCTTCTTTGCCATGTCGCCTGTCTCGGCCGTCATTCCGAAAGTTCCTTCCATAGGGGGTGCTGAAAGAAGAAATAAATATATTACAAAAGTATACAAAAGTATTCTTTAAAATAAGTGTGCTCTTGTTAACGATCCAAGAAGCTGTCATTTCTCAGACAAAAATGCATCCATGAACGTGAAATTAACATTTTAGAATACGGATTGCTTTGGGGACTATGCAGCAAACCATTCTTAAACTATGAAGTAGCCTCACTCACAATCTGTTCTGACTGCTGTCGTTCATTGTCACATCTCCATCGGTGTCTTCAAGTCTGGACCGCGGTCCTGGACCCCCAAAGATTCCTGCACTGCCGCCACCGCCATGGCCGCCACGTTGGCGGTCTCTTTGGAAGCGTTCGCGAGAGCGACCTTTATTGGAGCGACCTTTACGACTGCGATTGCTCGGTCCAGTGCGGTTGTCATGTTCTGAAAGATAGATCAATCTTACCACGTGTCCACTGTAGCAACTGTTTAATCAAAACCATGCATATTCTAACCAATATCAATTTAACGCGACTATAGTTGATACTAACATAAAATGATAATAATGAATATAATGCATATAATCGCTATAAAACTACAACCCAGCCGCTGGGGGGCAGTGCCCTCCCCTGGGGGTGCACTGTTCCCCAGTGCCGGTCCCAAGCCCGGAGAAATGGGGAGGGTTGCGTCAGGAATGGCATCCGGCGTAAAACTTTTGCCAAGACGACCATGCGAGTTGGTAGGACGGTTTACAGGGGCGGATGGAAATTACTGACTCGCTGTGGCGACCCCTGAATAGGGACGTGCCGAAAGGAGAAGAAGAAGAATCGCTATAAAACTACAAAAAGAGCGTGTGCAATTAGCTTCAGCCTAATTGAAAGTATCTTATGACGTCAACATTGAAATCACAGCTGTCAAACGAGGCCCACAGGCAAATTGTCGACTTAAAAGTTCCTTGCAAAAATAAACAAAAACTGAAAACAGACCAAAATGCAAATAGTTTTTACATGTAATAACCCTGAGATATTCTATTTTTTTGTTGCCAACCTACTTTAACGTAGACAACAATTGAACTATTTTTCCTTGACGACTGAATTTATAATTGCCGTGATTGGCTGGTTATCACTCCAGTGTGTACCCTGCCTCTAGCTCAAAGAGGGAATAGGCTCCAGCCCAGGTGAGAATAAGCAGTATAAAAACATGGAGAGGTGGATTGAGATATAGTAATACGAAGCCATTACACCCTAACCACAAATTGGCCAGTGACAAAATTTTGTTTGTGTATAGTTCAACTATTTACTTCAGAAAAAGGATTTTGGTGACAAATGTTTCTAAAATCTAGACATTAGAATATGAAAGTGAAGACCAATTGCAATTTTGCAATTTTAGTCCAAATTTTAGTAAAACACGTGAGGTTGAGGCGCACGATTAGCTTTGGCAGGCCACATAAAATGATGTGGCGGACTTGGAGTTTGACACCTCCGATTTCATATGAATCTACACTGTATATGTTTGCAAATATGTACCTATGAAAGAATATTTGTGTTACAGTGACAGAACGGAAGGAGCACTGTTTTAAAACTCGTTTTACAAACCACGATTACGTATTCTGGTCCAATTAAAGATCTAGTGGGAAAGAAATGAGGCCGAGGTGAAAAGGGTTACCTCCTGAAGTCATGAAACCAGTGCATCTAACCTCCCTTGTCAGCAGAGAGCCTAAATAAACAAGGCACCAGAAAGGAAAGGGGAAGATTAACGATGGACTGAAACACATGACTTACCAAAGTAATGGGCACCTTCCGCCATTTTTCTGCGAGGACGTTCGGAAATAACACAGTAAAACGGCCGTGGTAGTGCACGTTCGTTAAATACTGGCTGATAACGCGAGCTGCGTGAACTTTATGGGAGGAAAGTCAACGTAGCAAAGAATAAAAGGACACAGTTGGCCGTTGCCACGCTAACTGCTTTGTACAGCCTAGGAAGCTTCGACGCACTCCTAAAATGGCGGATGTCGACACTTTCAGCTTCCGGGGTAGGGCCGCGTAACGTCACTTCATTCCACATTTGCGCATGCCTCTCCCGGTAACCTCGCACAATCGCAAGATACGTTAACGATGAACCACAGTACAAAAACACTAACATTATATAATAATACGTGATAATATATTAATGAGCTCCCCTGTAGATATTTCCTAATCAATGTCAGTTAAATGGCCGAAAAAACTTACTCTGGTTTAGGGCTCGTGTCACCTGCAAGTTGGGGACACTTTTCCATTGCGTGTCCATGTCGTATGGCACACATCTACCTGCCGGGTTTACCTGTTTGTAAGAAAAACAAATCAAATAACAAATCGGTTCTAAAAAGGATCCTTAGATGGCCAAAGCACTGTCTATTAACAAGGCCCTGCTTCATTTCGCCACTTTAGTTTTGGCTAGCGTCCACACTTTGCCCATTCTGTTAGTGTACATAATTGTGGACTCAACAAGAACATTTTGACAATTGTCTACATATTGTTTTTTATATCTCTTCTGGTGTTTGTGACGCGACGAAACGACAAAACAACGACACCGTCGTTGTTTTTATCCAACGCTCACGTTCATGTCAGTCGCGTCGTCCCGTGATTCTGTTTCGGCGAAATTATTAATGGCGCCACTTTGTGACGTCACAGTCATCTTGGTATACTCCCACCAAATTTGTATATCATTCACCTGTTTAAGAAATAATCGTGACAAATTTACATTGCATTCTATATTTTATATTGCATCCATGAATAAGTACAATCACATACGGTCAAAACGTATATTTGACAAACGTAATTTGTCATCTGATGCAGTTTACAAACCTGAGCCCATCGGCAACCGGTTCCACCTTCAGCCATCTAGTGGAGGCTTGCGTAGAGAGGCGAACAAAGATTTTATTGTTCTTAGTAAATACTGTTCACATCAAGTTAATGACATTGTATAATTCCTGCTGTACTTCTGATGTTCCCTCAAGACACATTAACGTACCCACAGTACAGTGGTTATTAATGATAATAATGAAAAAAAATGAACATCACTCCGGACTTCTTGCTTTTTGGGGGCAATTTTTGCCTGGCAGTCATTGATTTGACAATTTAGGTACCAAATTTGAGCATTTGCTCGATATTCCTACAAAGTACACCAGTCAATCCGAAAAACGAATGAGGGGCCTTCTAAAAAAACATCACACAAAATCAATGAGGCCCAACTGGGAGTAGAAGGTCTTTGTAATGTTTGTTATGTGTTGTCCAGTGAACTGCTTGCGTATGACAGAGTTGCTGTTTTAGTGCAATGCGAATTTCTGAATTTCTATCTGACAATAAAGTATTTACTTATTGATCTATCCATCCCACTCTCCCCCTTACCTTTCCTCCCTCCCTCTCCCTCTCTCCCTTTCCCTCTCTCTCTCTCATTAAAGGGAAGATTATCAAATGTGTCCAAATGATAATCCTGAGCAATTATCCCTTAGTGTGGGAGACCCTGGGCAAATTAGACTAACATGCTGGCACATTTAACATTGAATTAAACAAAAAAATAAAAAGACAGACATAATGAAAGCAGCACAGCAAAGACTAATGTTACAACATAAACAGAATATACAGTCAAGGATAAATTTACACAATTTTATGGAACAAATATTTGAATACAAACAAAAATAATTGCAGGACAGTCCTTCTGACAGTGATGTAAGTGATGTGATGTGTTTTCAATTCCAGACATTCCCCATTTAGCAGAATCTTTATAAAATGCAAAATAACTACTGCGAGGAAATGAGTCACCCGGACCTTTAATTTACTTCTGTGCAGCTCAAGTAAAATCCAGGAATAAATGATCATAGAATGTGACAGAACAAGAGCGAAGGAATACATTACTACTTTCAATGGATGCATACAAAATGTCTTTTCATGCTGAGGAGAGGGCTGGTCATCATTCACAAACAGCTTACAGATAAAAACGCCTTAAGTAGGCATATTGTGGTTGTCACCATTTCCCAATCTGCTTGCTGCATTTATTTGGGCCTGCCAACAACAAAAGGGATTTAAAATTAACTAATCAACTTTGAATGAATGTAATCAATATGCACGCATGAGGAATGTTGCTCACCTGCTCTGGTCTGCTCAACAGCAGCCTCATGTAGCTGAAGAGGACGCTGAGGAAGATGAAATTACTGGACATGCCCAAGACAGCTGACAGGACAGGGAAGTAAAACAACAAGTACCTGAAAAAGGGAAACATCTTCTATTAATATCTTTTGAAAAAATATACATTAAACATAACAGCCTTAGGCGGCCCGGTAGGCGAGTGGTTAGCGCGTCGACCTCACAGTGCAGAGGTCGTGAGTTCAATCCGGCCTTCCTGTGTGGAGTTTGCATGTTCTCTCCGTGCCTGTGTGGGTTTTCTCCGGGTACTCCGGTTTCCTCCCACATTCCAAAAACATGCATGGCAGGTTAATGAAACACTCTAAACTGTCCCTTGGTGTGATTGTGAGCGTGAATGGTTGAATGTCTCTGTGTGCCGTGCAATTGGCTGGCAACCAGTTCAGGGTGTCCCCCGCCTACCGTCCAAAGACAGCTGGGATAGGCTCCAGCACCTCCCGCGACCCTTGGGATGATGAAGCAGTTCAAAAAAATGGATGGATGGATGGAAAACAGCCTTACCTTTTTCTGTGTACAAGAGAGACTGGCCATGCCAATTGGTAAACTTACTATTATTTTAATAGCTCCATTTAGGCTGTAAATAATTCATAGCCTGGCCCAAGTTTGAGTTAATTTTGTTGAGTGGGTATCTTATTGTTGAAAATGACACAAATTATATTTAACTATATTGCCGGTAGACGAGAGGTCAACACATCTGCCTCGCAGTTCTCAGATTGTGGGTTGAAAACTCGACTCTGGCCTCTTTGTGTGATGTTCTCTGCCACGGTTGCATCCTCCTCTAGGACACGGAGCTTTACAAGTATTTGGTCAGACCAACACACATTTCCACATGATATGACAAAAATACGATACCTAAGCCCCCAGAGGTTAGCGCAGTAAGTCCCAAGAATTGCGAAAAAATAGAGCAAAAAAAAATAAAATCAGACCAAATGAATATGATGAAAATATAAAGGAGATGCTTTTGCATTTTTTGAACATGTGCAAAGAATAAAAGATGTTGTTGCCATTTTCTTGTGCCATTCCAACAAAGAGATATGTGTTTGAAAAACAAAAGTGATTACAATGTTCCCCGCTCACCTGATACCAGTGAAATGGGCATGGATGTAGAGCTGGGACGAGTAGATCTGCACCTTGCTGGATAGGATCTCAATGACTGCTGTGGTCGAGGGGGAGTACTTTCCATGAGGAAGGAAAAAGACATTGAGGTTTTTACCAATGTAAAGTAGATTTTAATCCAAGAGTTTGCTTATTATTTATTGTTTTAATTTATAAGAACCTGGCACTCACTGGGTCATCTGTGTATTCTGAGAAGAGGTCCACCTCCAACACTTGCTTCTGCTCAGCAACTCCAGTCATGAACATCGGGAGGAACAGCAAAGTTGACATGGTCCTCAGAAGGTTTGACTGGTATCGCAGTATGCTCTGAAACAAGAGTTTATCGAGAGATCCTAATTTGAAAGTACATGTTTGTTGTGAAAATCTGTTTTGCATTTTTTTGTGCAACTGTATGTGTCCTAGTCCTTTGTATTTACAGTTAGTAAAATTGACTGCAGTGCAGTTAAAACAACACTGTTGTGGCCTTAAAAGGGACATTTAATCCACATAATGGATAAGCATAAGCAAACAATGTAACCAAGTTAGTAACATTAGCACCTGATAGCAAGTACATATTGAAATGTTTGGCTAAGTCGTTGATATACGCCTGGGGGTTATTTGTGTCTGTCGTGCAGCGTTGACAGCCGCTCACTTCATCGCATGCACTAGCTCTGCAACTGTTTGTCATGATAAGGAGGCTCCATTCAGCATTTGCAGGAAGAAACCCCTCCACCTCCTCAAACAGAGTGATTTGACCCAGAGCGAAAAGTGCTCATTAAATGTTAAAAATTGTTTATCTTTTGTGTATTTTAATGGAACAAAGTCAAGAGACCTTTGTTTCAGACACCTGGGAACAGTTTATAACAATGAAAATGTACATTTTATATCTCCTTTACCACTTTTTTTTTACTGTACAGTGTTTCAACGCTTATTGATGATTCAGCACTTCACAGTATTTTATTTGCAGATTTTTGGGGGTGAACTGCACACGGTTATTTTCACACACGCACACACACAAATATTTTTATGCTTCAGCTAAAACACTAATATAAAAGCATTGCTTTGGCACCACCTAGTGGCCTATTGTTGCACGGGACTGAGCAGCTTCCTGTTGTGCTTTGTGCCATCTTGTGGCTGTCATAGCCAATTACAGTATAATCTTTTTTTTTTTTTTTTTTTTGTGTGGGGGCGTTAATGACACTTGCAGATTTTCCCAAACGCTGCAACACAATCAGTGGAGGACAAAACAATGCACGGGCGCAGCCTAGACATTCTATATTTGAGCCAAATAACTGACATGACTCTCATAAGAGCAACAGATTCTGTTTGAGCAGGTTATTAGTTTTATACTCACAAAACGAGAGCTGGAAGCGGATGACAGCTGCCTCGCCTGAGAAACACGCAGCAACGTAGCAGTGAATCATCAGAGTCAGCACAAACATGCAAACATAGGAGCCGAACGGAGGACTCGGCAGGCCACTCACGGAATGAGCGGACGTCGCCACTTGGCCTCCGTCACGAGAGAAGCAGGTTGTCCTGATCATGAACATCCCAATCTCCTGGTTGGTCTCAGAATCAGGCATGTCTAACTGGAGTGTTATTTGATAGGCCTGGCCGAATGTCAACACCTGAACATAACGAATACCTTAAACATCTTTAAAATGGCAGATGTGTTTTTTTTTTGTTTTTTTAATGCAGGGCCGAGTACCGTAAGACAACAGGTTCATACTCCAATTTGTATTTTATTTTGAATATAGCATACAAGTGTGTCTCAATAAATTTGAATATCGTAGAAAACTTTGAACGAGAAAACTTTGAGTCTTTCCTTTCAAAAAGTGAAACTCAAATTCGTTTCATGAACCTCACAGGAAAATACTTTACATTTGGCCAGTTCCTAATAATGGGGATGCACAATTAAAAATGTCTTCTGCAAGGTTGATTACTCATACAATTAGGGAGTTTAATCTTTACAAATCAAGCATTCAAACCAGAAAGCATGTAAGTATATAAAGTAAGTGATACATGTGGTCATACAAAGTAATTACACGTACAGGTCTGTTGTTTCTCATCAGAGAGACATTGGCCACGGGATACGAGCACATGAAAGAGTTTGGAGAGTCACAGTCTATCCTGTAAAAGCAACAATAGGAATTTGAAGAATAATGTTGATGCATAAAAAAGATTTGAAAGGTGTGAACAAAGGGCCTCATTCAAAACATATTGCTGAATGCGGCCAAACGTGTAATTTCCTGATGTTCTTGAATGCCATACACTCACCTGTAGTAATAGTGCACCGGAGTTGAATAAGCTGCCAGAGGCATGTAGGAGTAGTAGAAGCTCCCGTACATAAAGGCGGAGATCCAAAGGAGCAGCGCCAGCATGGAGAACACAGTGAGGCCCTGCATGGCCCTCTGACGGACACGGGACATTGCCCTGACAGCGGCATCGTTTAATCTCATCAGTAAAGCACCAAAGAGGACGAAAGGTTCATATCCGGACTGCACGTGACTTGCTTGATCCATCTTAAACCTAAAAAAAAAAAAAAAATCGCAGAAAAAAGCATTATCTTCATCACAGTGTGGATAAAAAAAAAAAAAAACCTTTTCCCTATGCTGAATACTTTTGAGGACCAAACAAACACACATTCAGTGGACTGAGAAGTGTGAAATTAGCGAGTCAAATTTCAGGTCACAAGCAGAACACTTTTACATCAGATGACTTCAGATGGATCAAAAGTTGGCCTGTTTTATTTGAAAGCAAAAGGCTGCCAATGAACCTTCACTGATGGCATTGTATTTATTTAGGCAAGCTAATGTCATGAAGGAGCTCACTACTAAACACATTAGAGAATACAAATAGAACTGCAAAATTTAGCACGTATCCCCCCATTTGAATAGCTTAATTTGACGGAAACATACGTATTTTCCATTTTATATAGCTTTGTACAGATTGACAATGGTGGTAGAGTGGCCGTCTTGCAATTGGAAGGCTGCTGCTTTTTTCACTGATTCTACGAATGAAGCAACATCGTACATCTCCAGTTGTTGCTGCTGTGTCATTATTATGTGCAAATGAGGCAACCTTACAGTATACATGAGTGATTTGATGGTATAAAAGATGAACACAACTCAATATGTGATATGTGAAACAATGTGTTCTGTCTTACCGTTGTATTCTGATGTCCCATGAACAGTGAGGAGAGTCTTAAGACTTTGTCTCCGGCTCAACGCTGTCTGGATGAAATGTGAACAGGACTGTGACCGCCCCAATTCTGAGCTCCTACAAGTGGGAGAAAGAGGTTTAAGTTTAGTCCAGCCCCCTGACCACGAAGCGACTGCTGCCAATTGGAACACAGTTCGACAGAGCACAAGACAGAGTTACAAATACTTTACACACTGTAACTAGTTTTGTCTAGCAGCTTTTTGAATAACATGTATTGGAATGTAAGTTTTTGTCTGCAATATGTACTAAACGGATACAAACAAAGGTGTCCCTCACTAAAAATCGGATTGTATCCAGAATTCATGACGAGCATCACAAATTGCTCTGTGAAAGTCATTCAGCTCTCTTTGTTACACCAATAAAAGAACATGTCACTTGTAAATAGTTTCTGTGGTTTGCTTTTATGGTTTGTTTTGTTTGCCTTTTTTTGGGGGGGGGTGATACCACGAAATATATATTTAAATAGTACACCATTTACATTCCTAGATGTAATTATCTGATTAAAATGCGGTGTTTCTTTCTACTTTAAAAGGTACAGTAGGCCAAAATCAGCCAATAGTCAATTTACTTAAATTTATTACAATGTGAATAGCACTTACTAATAAAGTCTTCTTAACTGAACAGTGGTGGTGGTGATCTTCTGTATGGCCTCCAGAGTCAAATTCCTGCTTTTGCACTGTCAAAAAATGAGTGTATGCCTCTCACATGCTGATTTTTAAAGGGAATGAGAGGAGCTGCCTCCATTAGCCGGGAAGCGAGTTAGCTGTGTTCACTCCCACAACAGCGCAAAACCCCGCTTCTAACTGCGCTCATCTTCGAGAATACCCCCCCACACCGCCCCCCCCAAAAAAGAAAACTCCACCCATGCCAAAATATTGAGCAAAGAGACCCTCATCCAGTCAGAGGCCGCATGCTTACGAAACCCTTTGTTTTATGTCAATCAAGCAGAATGAAGGTTCAAGAAATAAGTGGATACAAAAACAAATAAAGTATCTCTTTCAGTGAAAGATACAATAAAATGGTGTAAATAGCTAAAGAAAATAATCTAAGAGCTCAAACTCATTACAGTCGCATTATTCAACATCAATACCGATGGTGGTATCAAGGCCCCAGGTGCACAAAGGTAGTGTTGTCAAGTTTTCATATTCGATACATATTGAGCGATATTGAAATACACAAACATTCAAAATGTTATTCTTTAAATTAGTATTAGAATGATGAAGTATATAATGTTTTCATTATCTATGTTGCCTAAGTGCCGAAAGACGACATTTTAAACAAACAAAAAAAAAATAATGTTCAGCCAGTTACATCTGACTCAACTCAGATGATCAGGCAGGGACTGATGGTGCTTCAGTGAGACATTTATAGCCACAAGATGTAAAGTTTAATTTAAATTCACTGTCTCCTCTGCATCCAAGCAAACAGGAAGCAATAATTTCATCTGACTTTGCTTGCAGGATCCACTGAGGGGGGTGTCAGAGCCATTGTGCGATGTCTTCTGTGCTTTTTGACTGAGCGAAAGAAAGAAAGAAAGAAAGAAAGAAAGATGTCCGAGGAAGGGAGCTACAAGAGATGTGAGACAGCTAGAAGTGCATTGTGAAGAATAAAAGGAGCTCCTCGAGCCAGGAAAACAGATGTTTGCTGAACAGAGCTCATTGTGACACCAGTAATTTCGACAGGGCTTTCTTCCATGTGAAAACAATGCCCACCACTGACAGTAATTAGCATTAGAGCGCTAATCAAAAACTGTGTTGCATTTGTGACATCTTGGGTCAATATCGACTCAACAGACAATCCATTACTGGCACATCTGCACCATCCGATGTGAAAGGCAAATTAAATTTCCATCTGTTACAAAGACAAAAATGCTCAGCTTTGAGGTATTAATTCAACAGCTTGTCTACATTGTGGTTGTTGCCCAACAGTTGTACCCTAAAACTACATACCTGAGTTCAGAGAATGGAGGACCATTACATTTCTGTAGAAATCTTGACAGAGCTGCTTAGTGAGGAATTTATTTTTACCTTCTGCCCTTCAAGTTAACTTGGGATGTTGAAAGTCGACCAGATGTAGCAGTGAAAAAGGTTTGATTGTGTAGTAGTTGGCATCCACTTTGTAAAGTGCATTATCGCCACCCACAGGAATGGAGTGGAACAGTAACACCGAGCGTGTAAACTACGGGAGTGTTCTGCCAGTCCAACTTGACTGCAAGAAGTTTTGGTCTGATCAACCAATCAGAGGATGGGAAAATACTGGTGTTCTTTTGGTTCAGATGGGCGGCCTGTGATGTGAAATCTGTTTGGTTCAAGAAACAGTCAGACTGTTGATGTAGTTTAAGTTGCATTAGCAAGTGAGACTGATTCCGAAGGCCTTCACAAAATTAGACTGACATGGCAACACATGACGCTGAAATCTGATTACACAAAAAAATCTAACTTCGACATAGCAAAAGCTGTGCAAGGTGATAGAAATGCTACAAAGTGAAGAGATTAGACTGTTGGAAATAAATTTATATAATTACATGGATCAAATATTAGAATTAAGGCCGTAAAATAGGGCAGTGCTTTTGATTAGCGTTTAGTGTAGCAGAGAAAGCATTGCTGGCTCTGACACTTTATTTTCCTTTTGTCCTTATGTTATAGAGCTGAGGCACATCACAAAATTGGATAAGATGGATAGTTTCACTGTCAATAATGACAATACGACCTAGTGCAAAGCCCTTCTTCCTGCTGCCCTTTACATATCTGAGGTGATTCTGGAGGCTCACATCCATCAGCCTCTGACAACACGATAATCCCTCGAAACCGCCTGCCTCAGTAGCTAATTCCATTCTTGTCTTCATCCCCATTTTCACCTTCCTTCCTTTCCCTCCATGCAGTTTCACTGACAGTTTTCTCTTTCACTGACAGTTTGCTCACCACCAGGTTTCTCTTTCCGGAGCTGAAAGCTTCGTAGATATCCTTTGCATGTATAGCTCGGTCACCCTTGTGTACTATTTTGTGCAAGGCTTGGTTGCAAGCACTGCCTAGGGGTCCCTTGGGGGGGACTGCTCCTGCTGAGAAGCGTCTGGTGGGGAGGGGATGGGGCCACAAGCCAGGCTGGGTGCTGCTCTCAGTGCAGTTTTACACAACGGCCTCTTGGGTGGCTTGGAATGAAAGAGAGACAGAAGGGCAGCTCTGCAGGGGGGCTAGAGTGTATTGACACCGTCAATTGAATTAGCGGTAGATGTGCAGGGCAGGACGTGGCTTCACATTCAACATCTACAACTGTACGTTGCAACTTAATTGCAGAGAACTGAAAGACAATCACTCACCAGCAAGCAGCAAGCTTGGCGCTCCCTTTTTGGTACCTTTCAATGGAACCTTAAAGTCATTCAGTTAATCTCAATTGGGCAACTCATTCACCAATGTACAGTAATTCCTCATCCATCCATTTTCAAGCCACTTGATCTCACTTGGGTGAGCTTGAGCCTATATAGCATAGCAAAGGTAAACCACCCCTGAAGTAAATCCAAGCACCCCCAAATTGTAGCGGCCTTTAGATTTAATTACTGTATGTCCAGCTAGAGAATTGTTCAAACCATACGGTAGTGAGTACAAGCAAAATATTTTGTCAGCAAAAGTATAGTTCCCCCCTTTTCCTCAAAAGCGACTAATCAAGGATCACCTGTTTTCTGAAGCTGAGGCATGACAACAGGTTGTTGTTACCTGAGAACTGTGATGTCAAAATGGCCAAAACACCTGTTTTGGCATGGATTTTACTCCTGACCACATACGTCACAAACTCAATATTTATCCAAATGCCATGTTTAAACTAGTAGGTCTACATACAATTTATTACTGTAAAGATTTTTGGGGATGTTGACCTCCCCTTAAGGAGGTGCACATCTTTTGCAATTTTCTTCGCAAAAACTACAATTAACACAAAGGATGCTGATTGGCCTTGTGGGCTGAGGCTATAATTTGTGGTTTTTAGTGATTCCTTTAGCTCCTGTAAATTAGCTGTACAACATTTCTATTTAGTAAATTCCTGTTGAAATGACCTGGTTTAGGACCCCGAAGTAATTCTTAAAACGGCTCTCCACCTTGGAACCGGCGGCTCCCCGCCCATCTCCCCCCTACATGCCGGTCCCACGGTGAGTGCTCCCCGGCGGGGTCCATTGTTCTTCGGCCGCTTCGACTACAATTAAGCGTCAAGTTGACGTGCGCAAATAGATTAACTTCCGGTCTTTGCTGTCAAAATAGTTTAATTGGACGCGCATCACTGACTAACAGTCCGCATGGTCATGATTTCTTTCCTTTTATTTTTCACAATCAAATTTTGTATTTCCGGTAATAGAAAATTACCTTTACAATAGTGATGCTGAGCGTGTTGGTTGGTTCTACCGCTTTTCTCCTCATTGATGTCCACCAAGTTTACTGGACACAGTTGATGGAGAAAATTGTGTAAATCACAGCCTGGTCTTATCCTTGCATGACGTTGTTAAGAAATATGACTTTTTAAACGACTGACCATCTTAGAGCACTTTGACAGCCCGTAGTTTAATTCCGTTCAGTGATTACAAAATCTAATTTTCAAATCATCCGCCCTTACGGATGCCTTTTGTGGTGAAAATGGAGACCTGGCTGGCTGTACCCAAGTACCAGCTCCTGGGTTTGCTTTGTTTAGGACCCGAAGTAATTCTTAAAACGGCTCTCCACCTTGGAACCGGCGGCTCCCCGCCCATCTCCCCCCTACATCCCGGTCCCACGGTGAATGCTCCCCGGTGGGGTCCATTGTTCTTCGGCCGCTTCAACCACAATTAAGCGACAAGTTGACGTGCGCAAACAGGTTAACTTCCGGTTTTTGCTGTCAAAATAGTTTAATTGCACACGCATCACTGACTAACAGTCTGCATGGACATGATTTCTTTACTTTTATTTTTCCCAATCAAATTTTGTATTTCCGGTAATAGAAAATTACCTTTACAATGGTGATGCTGAGCGTGTTGGTTGGTTCTACCGCTTTTCCCCTCATTGATGTCCACCAAGTTTACTGGACACAGTTGATGGAGAAAATTGTGTAAATCACAGCCTGGTCTTATCCTTGCATGACGTTGTTAAGAAATATGACTTTTTAAACGACTGACCATCTGAGAGCACTTTGACAGTCCGTAGTTTAATTTCGTTCAGTGATTACAAAATCTAGTTTTCAAATCATCCGCCCTTACGGATGCCTTTTGTGGTGAAAATGGAGACCTGGCTGGCTGTACCCAAGTTCCAGCTCCTGGGTTTGCTTTGCGCAGTAGCTGCCCTATCGGGGTCCCGGAGCTCGGTGGCTGCCGACGGGGGGTGCAGAACAGTCTGGATAAAAACAAAGCAGAGTGGTTTTAAACCAAATTACATCCCCTCCCCTGTGTGCTGTTTAAATAGGTTGATTAAGCGGGATGAGCAAATTGCCAACACCACAACAACAAAGAACCTCGCCCCTAATTAGTCTTCGCCTGTACTGGTAAATCCCTGCTTGTCCCCCATGGATTCTATTCATTGGCAATAATAATCTTATCTGCTGAATGAGATCAAGTGTGGATTTTGAATCAAGTTTCAGTGAGGGGATTGTGAAAAGGTTTGGAGTGTTTGGGGTAAAATAAGAGAAAGTGCACCTGTCTGAAAAAGTGAAAGTATAGCAAGGTCGCCCACATGTGTGGCTGAACCTCGAATGTGAATTAGCTTAGACTGATGTATTTGTGGGTGGGAGGTCACCAGTATGTTGAACATGCACGACATAAGACCAGCAAGAGCAAAAAAAAAAAAAAAAAACCTGGGAACTGTTATAAAAACTGAAACAAATTGCGATATAATCAATAATGGTACCTACTCGACTTTATAATAACCCAAAATATTTCTCACCCCTGTTAAACACATTCTGGCTTTGTGTTGAAGTCAAACCGACAGATGCAGTATTGATTGATTTTAGATATATTTGTGTGTGAGTGTTTGGGCTGTGTGTGTGTTCTTTGCCTGAGCCTCGGCTGGCTGTCCCGTGGGCCATGGGGGAGCAGATGGCTGGGAGAGTGAGCAAAGACGAGAGGCTGCCTAGAAATGGAAATGCAGGGATGAGAGCGGAACAAAAGAGACAGAGTGGCACACCAGCGAGGAGGTGGAAGCCAGACGTACTATTTGTGTCAGGTGTAACATTGACTGAAACAAAGAACTGAAGCGCTTTTCCTCCCTCGCTTGTCATTTGCATATCATTACCTCTGACATATGAAAGACCCGAACCTGAGCTGACAACAAGAGAGAGAGATTGGAACTGAATAATTCATGGGGTCAAAGTACAATTTCATATCACAGTCTTTCGTTGTCTTTGATAAGACTTGGCTGTGGGAACAAGAGACTGACAGGTGTAATGGATTGTTTCACGGCAAGCAGATCTTGTTTGAATGGGAATGAATGAGCACGGTAGCCCATCATTTCCCATATTGAGTATCAGCAAATCAGGAGTGGGGAAGAATATTACCATCAGGGGCCATTCGACTCTGTCGAGGGCCTTACCAAATCTATGAAAAAGTGTAATAGTTTCTTATAAATGTTATTTATGGGCAGAACAGTGGTTAGCACCGTTATAATAATCAAGTCTAGTGGGGATTAAAGCAAGGGTTTCACAATAGCTTTGAAAAAGTCAGATTTTTGGATCCACTCTATCAAATTGTCATGGTAATAAAATTATTCCCAGGTGATTTTAAGTGCTGCATCATTTTGCGATTTTGCTGGTTTGTGACGATGTTTGATCTGACGAAATGTACTTTTTCACGGAAAAACAGGCAAATTCATTGCATTTATATTATAATGGTTGTTTCACTCTTTGTATCCTGCTACTGGCTGGTGAACATCAGTCAGCTGGGATGAGGTCCAACTCACTTTGCTTTTTAAGTTTTTTTTAAATACTGAATAATGAGCGTTTGTGGCTTAAATGTTTTACAACAGTTCCTCAGAGGTTCCACTTGTTTTTTGAATTGCGTGGGTGAAATGCTTCCCCAAGCGATAGGGTTCCACACCGTGGTCTAAACCATCGTTTGCGGACCATTTATGAGCACACCCAACAATCTTCTCATGATACAAATGTGCCACATCACATTTGTTGGGAATCACTGCTCTAAACGATGCACTGTTACTACTTGTGTGCACAGGCGAGCACTTGAGGCTCTGTCCTCAGGACTACACCTGCTGCTCCAGTCAGATGGAGGAAACGCTGGCGCTTCAGAGCGAACGGGACTTCCTGAAATCCGTGGAAAACCATAGCCAGTTCCTGTTGACCACCTTCACCCAAAGACAGCGACGGTTTGACGGTAAGAGAATGGACTCTTACATTTGTGGCCATGACTATCAGCTCGGTTATGTTTTCTGTGGTCTTTATTTGTTGGTATCGCGTGTAATCGTTTAAAGACATCCAACTATTGGGCCTTTATTGACGGAAACTCGATTTGATTAATGGAATGTGTGCACGGTATGCATATTTATATAATTATCAAAAAAATCCTGTTAACCCTTTCAGGCATCCTGTAACCTGATAACATGATGAACTGTCCACTGTAGTAACCGCTTTCCCTGAAAGGCTTGGGAGGGGGACAAAAGGAGCTCGTGAGGGCTTTAGCGTCTTTATCTTTAATAGAACTGAGCGCTAGTAAAGATTTCTGTCTGTCCGAGTCCAGCCAGACGCAACACCGAGCCGATTTGACGTTTTCACCGCCTACCTGCTATCACCTCTCTTCTCCCCTCCTATTTCTTTTATATAACGCAAGTGATGAATCAGGAGTGGGAGACTGCACATATGAGCCTTCACGGCTATTTTTATAAGACACCATGCTCTCTCGCACACATTCACTAATGCCCGGCGAATGATGTAACCGTGACGTGGCGAGGCCTTGGCGCCAGGTTTTGGGTGTCAGACTTGCATCTTTGTCCTCGCAGAGTTCTTCAGGGAGCTGATAGACTTGTCTGAGAAGTCCATGAACCAGATGTTCACCAAGACCTACGGACGCCTGTTCACACAGAACTCGCACGTCTTCCAGGAGCTGTTTGTGGAGCTGCGCAGGTATTATTCAGGTCAGTTCATCCGCAGCTCGTCTGCATAGACAAGAATTGGGGCACACTCGTACTGTATATTTAGATGCAAGGTGGTACCAGATGGCCACATCACACTATCGCGATGCACGCGTGTATTTTCTTGGAATGGCTGGTGTATTATAAATGATACCTGTTGCTCATCCAGCCTTCTATCGGCCTGTCTGTCAATTCATCTGTCTTCTCGCTATTCATTTAACTTTCTATCTATCCACCAACCTACCTACATACATGGTCATTTTTTTCTTTTTCTTTATGAAGTAAGCTAAAATTTAAATTACCAACTTGCTTCAAAAAAAGTGGAGCAATTAAGGCACTGTAATGCCCTCACATTTGGGCAAGGAGAGCCAGTAAGCACTTTCATTCAGTCAAATACAAATACAAAATGAGAGCACCTGCAAGGGGCTGCTTTCAGGCCACACCACTCACGTCCTGACGTGAGGGGTTGAACCAATTAGTAGTACCGGTAGTTAGAATTTTAAACTATCCAAACTGCATGCATCTATGAAGATACCAAAACAAAGTCTAGCCCTCCCCTGAGCAAATTTAGACCGTGCCTCACGCCAGATTTGCGCTGGCGGCAAAAATAAAGCCTTACTTCTAAAAGTTGACTAATCTCTACTGTCACTACTGACTTGGTTTTGGCATCTTGTCTTCCAATCTTGCAATCTACAGAGGACTTTTGACTAACGCTAACCTATCTGCTGCCCTTACTGGATTAAATGGTCATGGAATGAATTAAACTTTTAAATCAAGGTAGCGCGGGACATACTATTCAGTGCATACCTACAGTACCTCTATAACAATTTTTACGAGATTTCTTTATCGTCCGCAGGGGGGAGCGTGAGTCTGACAGAGGTTTTGTCGGACTTCTGGTCCCGACTGGTCGAGCGGGTCTTCACTCTGGTCAACCCTCAGTATCAGTTCAGCGATGACTACCTGGAGTGTGTCAGCAAGCATGCCGAACAACTGCAGCCGTTTGGAGACGTTCCTCGCAAACTGCGTGTACAGGTGGACTGTCCCAACTTCTTGTTTAAATGAAGTCCAAAAAGTAAGTGATTTTTTTTTCTCTATTTTTTTTAACAATTCTTTTACCAAACCAGGTATCCAGGGCTTTTATTGCTGCTAGAGCGCTCTCACAGGGATTAGCTGCTGGTCGAGATATTGTCAACAAAGCCACAAAGGTAAAATAATAATAATAATAATAAAGTGTAACCTTGTGGGTTTAACAGTGTGTTCCTGGGCGACTCGAGTTTGAATTGAGAATTAAAAACAAGCTGGCCTCGTGGTCAGTATGTCTGTCTCATAGCTGAGAGTTTTCTGGGTTAAAATGATTTAAAATTTGAGTTTTGCAGTGGCATAGCATATGCAATGACAGTGGCATTCCTTACATGCCTTCTAGATGACTCCAGACTCTGAGTGCATGCGTGGCCTAATGCGTCAGTGGTACTGCCCCCTCTGTCGAGGAATGCCCTCCCTGCGTCCATGCCGCGCCTTCTGCCTCAATGTGATGAAAGGCTGTTTAGCCAATCAAGCCGACCTGGACACCGAGTGGGACTATTTTATTGGTGGGTGACGGGAGGCGGGGGAGGATTGTACTGTATTGACATTTTTTTTGTCCAAGATTACATCATGGGTTTAATCTCCCGTTTAAAAATGCTAAAATATACTCTTCGTGCATGAATTAACCTTCTGTCTTCAGATAATAGCTCATTTAATTTTCAAGGTTATGATGAGCAAATTAAATAATCAACAATCAAGAAGAATACCTTTCCATAATGGTTCCATGTTTCTCATTTTACTTTAAATCCACTTTGACATTCAATCATCTCGCCTGTAACCTCGTTTTCTTCGCACATACCCGCCATCAGATGCCCTCTACCACGTGGCTGAGAAACTGGAGGGGCCGTTCAACATGGAGCTGGCGGTGGACTCCATCTCCGTCAAAGTGTCCGAAGCCATCATGCACATGCAAGAAAACAGTGTCAGCATATCTACCAAGGCAAGGATGACTCCTTATACGCCATTATATTGATTCTTTGAGGAGAATGTACCAGGGGAAAACTAAGGTTCTGTGAATAATCTCAAGCACATGTTTCACAGTTCTGGGGTTGTGGGTCTGAATTTCATGTATGTTAAGGTAATTGAAGACAATTGTCCGTGAGAGTAATTATATGTACCCTGTGATTGGCTGATGAACCCAAAATCAGCCGGGATAGACTCCAGCTCACCTGCGACCCTAATGAGGATAAGCGGTATGGAAATTGGAAGGATGGGATCTCATTTAACATGCTCACAAACCAATGGTCCAGCCATCCATTTTTGTGTGCTTGTATTCATTATGCTTGCAATGGCAGATGCTCACATACCTAAACATTAATTGGCCTTGGATGAGGTTGTACTTTATAACGTCAATGTTGGGTTATTAGCAGGGTTGTAATACAGTCAAGCCCCGCCTATTTGCAGCAATAACCTGATTGCTTTGATACCATCTGGTGGCATTTTGGTGTCAAGGACGTATGTTGGAGTGAGTTGAGGAGTTTATTTTCGATATAAGTAGTACTTTGTCGCTATTTTGCTGAATTGAGAGACAATAAGAAATCTTTGTAGTTGGTGCAGGAATTGCTTGTGGCTTTTCGCTATCAGCGGCAGGGCTCCTTCTGTATTCAGTATATCTCAAGTCTCACGCAGATCCATTATTTCTTCTGAATTTAAGGAGAAAATGATGATGAATTTTTTTTTCATAAAACCATCTCTCGTAATGGATGAAAATGTCATTCTTTTTGGGGGAAGTGGGGGGTGGGGTGTGAGATATACAGCACTGACCTGCTGAGGATGAGGGTTCAAAAACAATAGCTAAAATGTCTTGTCCGTCTGATTGCCGCAGGTTAAATTTCCAATCACAATTAAAAAAAAACCTTTTAGGATATATGCGAAACACATCAGGTAGCATGTCTTACACAATTTCTTGCTGTCAAAGCATTTGTAGCAGGCCCATTTAAAATCTATTCTGGATTTGTCCTCTTTACCACGTCGCAGAGCTATGCCATTTGACTTTTGTTATGAAAGAATCGTTTACCATCAAAAAGAGTGACAAAAACACAAATCTCCCTTATTATCATTTCGGGTCCTTTGTGAGACAACAATACAGCACTCCCGGTGAGGTCGCACCATGTAACTGAAGCGCGGCGGCGAGGCTTCTGGGAGCGAATCCACCTGAGAGGCACCCACGTCTCGATTCAATGTGTGGCAGCGCTTCAGGGAACAGCGAGTTCTTTGGTACACAGCTTGGCTGTTTTTCCCCTCTGTGGCAGAGAGAAAGAGTGAGAGGAGTGGAATGTCAGCCAAGGATATATTATATTGCCGGTCCAAACCTTGACTCGCCCAGTCTTGAGATTGCACGGCAAGCTCTGTGGAAGATGCTCATCAAATAATGTGCTTCATGTCAAAGGTACAAGTCCAAGGTTTTCAAGATTTGGAGTGGTGGTTTAAAAAGAAAACCTTTCTATACAGCATTGCGCTGGCATGGTGATAACTAATTCACAAGGAGGATAGTTAGTTGAAAACCAGAAGTAATGACATGAACATTGACATGAAATTTCCAGGAGTGGATACGATTTTAAATCTTTGGAATGTCTATACGGAAAACAATAATAAAGTCAGGGACGAGTATTTTACATACGTACAGTGCATAAAAATCCTTTGATGTCATTGAGGTAGGCTATTTTGTCAAAATAAATATAATTCTTGCCCCACCTTGATATTGACCAATGCTGCAAATGTATAGGCGAAGTACAGAAAACGACATATTATTCCCGGATCGCCATTCACAAATTCACGTATTCACTTTGGTTTTTCTGTGGAACTTATCCTGAAATATGTGAAGAGTTGAAGATCGGTGTGGTGTGGAAGACTTTTGGTGTAATTCAATATTCTCTGTGAAGGTGTTCCAAGGGTGCGGAAACCCCAGACCTGTTCCAGCACGTTCCAAGCGCTCACCCAAAGAGTCAGGGGGCAACAGGAGGCCTTTCCGCACCTACACCCCCGACGAAAAACCGACCACGGCTGCAGGCACCAACCTGGACCGACTAGTAAGAATGATGAAGTTGCCTTATCTTAGCGTCTAAGTGTCTATTTTGCGCTTGATGAAGGAATTATGCCTTGAAAAATTCAAGGCACACAGCTCCGGCATATGGCCAACAGATTTAACATTTAAAAATTACATTTTTAATCATCGGAATATGTGCAAGCAAATAAACGATTAAATTGTAGACCTCTGTAACTTTAATTTAATTCTGACTAAAAATTCCAGTGACAGAACTCAACAATATCACTTCACCTAGTTGAAACATATTTTAAGATATTTAAAAAAAAAAAAGTTTTTCATTTAAAGTGCAGACTTGAGTGTCTTGCCGAAGGACACTTCTCAAGAAGTGCCGAAGAAGTTGGGAACCAAACCGCCAACCTATTGGTCACTTAACAAATCGCTATATCAGCTCAAAAAAAAAAAAAAAATGCAAAAAGTTGACGTGTTATATTTCTTTTTGAAAAAGAAATTGCTCCCTTTTATTCTGTTGGAGCGGATTGGGGCTTCACGGTCAAATTACTAAGATTTTTCAGTCTGTTAAAATTCCGATCCTCATTGGTAATATGTTTTGTAATATATAAACTGTATGCTTGTCTTTAAGTGCACATTTTTATCTTGTGTTTTAAGCTCGTGTAAAGTAAGTGTCTTTGAGTATGATGAAAAGCGCTTTCAAATAAAATGTATTATTATTATTATTATTATTATTATTATTATAAACGTCACTTCCTGCAAGTTTGATTCTGTTTGAATAACTCATTCCCAGTGCTTCTAGGAATGAGTTACCGGGTAGTGACGTTTTAGTAGCCGACCAGCATGCTACACCCTAGACCAGGGGTGGGCAAACTTTTTAGCTCGGGGGCCACATTGATTTCTAAATTTGACAGGTGGGCCGGGTCAGCACAAGATATGGTACATATAAAAAAACGTATATGTTGACAGTCCATACCAAACATCAACAGAACAAAAGCATTCAAGTATTACCATACTTTTTTTCATGAGAACAGTGAGATAACGTATATGTCCTGTATGAACGTCCAAGTACGGTATGTTAACAACATACATTGGTGACAACACAAGCAACAAAGTGCAACAATATATTGTCCAAAAACTGCGGCATACAGTACAGGTACAGTATATGAGAAAATATAACAAAGGTAGGACTATTTGCTCCAAAATGAGACGAGTAAAAGACCTGGTGGCTTTCTTTCCACTCACTCACTGTCTCGAACTCGACCTCCCCTCGATCACCACACAAGACAGCGTTGCTCAGCTGATGTCGTGCTTCGAACTTTTGAAGCCAGCCACAGGACGCTCCGAAGTATTCAATGCCCATAGTTAGCGTTATGGAACTCGCTTTCTCTCTTATTAGCGGTCCAGTTTGCGAAAAGTTTTTAGCACGATAACAGTCAAGCCATTTCAGGAAACGTTCATTTACTGGACTGTCCGTCGAGCCGCAAGCAATTCACTCTGAGCATGGAAATAGCCCGAATCGGACTGAGCAAGAATCGCTTCCTCGTTTTTCAAAGTCTCGTAGATTTGAGTCTTCCAGACTCCAAGCGTCTCCTGAATGTTTCGTACTTCGTAACCCGCTTCGTTTAATGAGATACACTTCATTTTCTCTTCCGCGGCCATTACCGCTCCTCTTTGTTTGGATGCCATGCTCTAATATAGGATGTAAAAATTTCGCAATTCCAGGAAAACTCACTGCAACAAAGAGTCGCTTGCATGTCGCCGTTTTGGATCCAATGACAGAAAATAGCGGTGCGGATACATCTATTTCGTCGTATCGAGCGGGACTTACTTGATTTAGTGCTACTGCGGGCTTCCGTATCGTCTCCCCCTCCCTCCCTGTGCTCTGCGACTTCAAGTAACTGCGCCACCTGGCGTTTAAATGCCTGTATTACAAGTCCAAATGAAATTAATGCAATAATTTACATCGAACCATAATTATGTACTGTACCAACCTTCGGCGGGCCGGATGAAAAAGACCAACGGGCCGGATCCGGCCCGCGGGCCGTAGTTTGCCCATGTCTGCCCTAGACTCTAGGGTGTAGCATCTCTAGGGCCTAGAGATACTGTACGATTTCCATGCACTACACAACACAGTACAGTACATTCAATTGCGAGCGATGTTTTGGAATTTGAGGAAGATGATTTTTACCCACAAGAGCTGACAGAAGTGGGTGTTGTCAAACCCGACATGACACGCTTGAGCCGATCGAAGCCTGTCAGTGGAAGGGAAATTGAAAGTGAAGGTGATGACTGTGACAAGGACACTGAGGAGCCTGGATTCGAGTTGACAAAAAACTGCACAGAGCGGATTGTAAATCCAACCTGACATGCTTTTGCACCCCTGTATCAACATACAGTATATTTGGTCTTGCACCTCTACTCGGTAGCACAGCAGCTTTCGAGAGATTAAGTCGGCATGAAATGCATGAAATGTTACAATGCGGGGAAAATCTTTAACTGCATTTTACATGCATGAAAATTGTCGATGAGGATCATATGCATTCAACAATGAATGGGGATGTTCATAACACGTCGTACAGAAAGGCTTTGCCATTTTTTTTAATCACAGTTATGCATTGTAAAGCAGTTATAGGGGTATCAAGGAAAACTTTTCTATCTTTGGTCTCTGAACCTTTAATGACCATGCAAAAATATCAGTACCATACATAAATATCTGGTGTCGTACTTTGGTAATATGACATCGTGCGTTCCCACTTTAAATGCACAAAACCATGATTCATATGCACTACCCCCTACTACACACACATACACGCACGCATGCAAACACACACACACGCACACACACGCACGCACGCACGCACGCACGCACGCACACACACACACACACACACACACACACACACACCCCCAGACACAACCCCACCCACACGACCAACACACAGCCATCTAGACACAAGAATACTTTCAAGATAGATGAGCAATGACTCACGAGCTGCCTCCATACAGGTTACGGAACTGAAAGAACGCCTGCGGCCCATGGGGAGCTTCTGGGTGTCCCTCCCACACACCATCTGCAACGATGAAAAAATGGCCGCCGACGTCACTAATGAGGACCGCTGCTGGAATGGGCAGACCAGGGGGAGGTTAGCCACATGCATTTGGGAGATTTGGCAATGGTTCGATGAAACCAATGTCGGAAGTTTTTGGCCAGAAATCCAAAAAGCTTGTTAGGTGCAAAGGCAACAGTGCTTCACCCCAAATATGTAGTGAAGCATGGTTCTTGCAGGATTATGCTTTGGCACTGTCTTTCTGATTCAATTTGTCACCTGTGTGCATGAACACTCTCAGATATCTGCCAGAGGTGATGGGCGACGGGCTGGCAAATCAGATCAACAACCCCGAGGTGGAGGTGGACATCGGGCGACCCGACGTCAAGACCAGACAGCTGATCATGGAGCTAAGGGTGGCTTCCAACAAACTAAGACATGCACAGAGTGGACAGGACATGGACTTCATGGACAGTCAGTAGTACTGCATACACTCACTTGATGTTGCATATGAACAGCCATGACAGACTGCACACGGTTTCCTCAAACAGTGGCCCCCTGCTCTAATTAGTGTCACATTCCCCGTACGAGTCTACGATTGACACTGACAGCAATGTCTTTTGCACAACACACAGAGCAAATGTGGCATCGGTTAAGCTGCAGTTTACACTTGCGTTCAAAGTGCAGATTTATATATTTGTGGAAATTGATCAATCATGAGGAGAAATTAAAAGCATACATATAATTCCTATTATTAGTCGTGATCATGTTTAAATAACATTGTTGAATGTTTTTTTTTTTTTTAACATTGAAATTCATTTATTTGCCAATACCACGCTCCTGATCGACGCCTGGTAGTAAATAAACATGTCTGACCACAATCCTTCATACATACTATGTTGCAATATGTATTCAACTATATAACACATATTTATTTTATTCATTTTAGTAATTAGACAGAAACACAAAATGCAATTTTAAAAACCTCATTTTAAAATATTGTATTTAAATGATCATGCATCATTTAAATACATTATGTTCATTCATAAAGTTTCCAATATAATCTAAAAATATAAGGCCTCTCTCAGATGGCTTAGCCCTAGTAGATACGTGTTACTCTCTGCAGTTGAGTAGCCACAATATCAAATAAACATGCTGTAATTTCAATATTTCCAAAACGAAAAAAAGAGCAGAAAATTCATAGAATATATATCATAATACATATTTTCATCCATTCACACCTCTGCAGTTGAGGAAATAATTGCCCCTTGCCATAATACATTGTTTATTGCAATATTTAACATTGTTTATTGTTGAAAATAATTATGGGAAACAGGGGCGTCACTAGGTTTGAAGAAGAAGGGGGGCTTAGCCCCAAGGGGAACACAGCCCCTTTAGGGGGGTCCGGGGGCATGCCCCCCCGGGAGAAATTTTTTCTACATTCTGTTAAAAATCCATCAATTCCGTGCACTTTGAGAGCAAAATGAAGAGGCTATGAAGAACTCCACACATCACATTAGTATCCTCTTTACTATGATGGGGCTTCCTCCCCTGGACTTTAACTGGACTAGATAATAGAAATTATAAAGAGTTCAAAAGTTCAATCTTGGTTGTTCAAGGGAATTAGAAGGATGCCCGATAACATAACCTATATGACAGTAGTCCTATATTCCTCTCTACCAAAATGTATTAATATATGCTTAGCCGCCAGAAGACAATGTATTGTGAGATGTCTGCCGTGATATGCAATTTAAGTTAGTACAATGAGATGCAAAAGCTTCATCACTTTGGAAAAACACAAGTCTGCTGCTCAATACTTACTGTAAGCTCCGATTGCATTTTGGGAACAGCCTTGCAAGTAAAATTAGCCTTGAGATCTGATAGACTCACCTGTCCAGCAGAGCTCACCCCCGGCTCACTCTCTGTGATTCTTTGGCCTGATTCCTTTCAAATAAATAAATGTATTTATTTTATATTTATTTATTTATTTTATATAGGCCAAAATCTCAATAGGTGTTGCCTCAAAGAGTTGGTGTAATGATTATTTATGTATTTAATAATAAAATGTTGCTTAATTTTTATTAAGCACCACCTTAATTTATCCAAAAGTGAACACTTGTTACAGTGCAGTTTCTGCTGTTACTGGAGATATTTTAGCGGACTATAGTCACTAGTTTTACCAGCATGGATGCATTGAATACTTAATTTACCTTTCTAAAAAACTGTCGAATATCCATGCTGTCGACTCAACCTAACTTTCGGCAATGAACTGTCAGTTGTTGCGTTAGCATTTGATGCGGCGATGGTGACAGAATGAAATTATTTAGGGGGGCTAAAGACATTTTTAGGGAGGCTGAAGCCTCCCTAAAATAGGCCTAATGACGCCCATGATGGGAAAGTTTACAATCCCATTATAATGTAAAATGTTTTATAACGCTATTTAAAAAATAATAATCATACAAATTATAAATATATTTGACTATTGTTATGAAAAAAATAAAGGCCTCCTCCAAATACATGCCTGCTTTTCGAAATAAAAATCCAGAGTAAATAGAGTATTGATCATGAATACTTCCCTGACAGTGTCAATTTGATCATTTTTGTGTGTGTGTGTGTGCGTGCGTGCGCGCGCGCGTGTTGCACCCAGGTGAGGAGGGCAGCGGTTCGGGAGGCGACGATGCCAGCGAACGCTACAACGACGATTGGCCAGGTTACGGACCTCACTCTCCTCCTTTCAGCAAGCCCCCACGTAACGCCGCCTCTAACCCTGCCAAGCCTCCTCGGGTCCGCGAGAGAAACGGGCCCAAGGGCAACCGGAACCACGGCCGAGTCCCATCTGCAACAAGTCAGCTCGCTTCCTCCCTGCTTCCTTTTTTGGTGCTACCTTTTGTGCTCATGAAGGCCCCCTGGTGGAGATAGTTTCTCATTGCATTTGTCATGATGGCCAGCCAAGAATGTTTTTTTTCATTTGGTTACTTTACCACACACACACACACACACACACACACACACAAATGAATAGCACAAAATGGCTTATCATGATTATTTATAACATCAACTGCACAAGTATCTACATTACTGTATGAACATAACATTAAATCAAAATGTGCCAACTGGTAAAATGGGCAGATTCATCATGTTTTGATGAGGTGTACATTTTGAGATAAAATTCTTGAGCAATGAATTCTTCGGCCATAATTTTGTTAAAATCGTGCATCGCAATACATTTGAATATAGTAGAAAGGTTTTATTTATTTCAGCAGTTCAATTCAAAAAGTGAAACCTGTGTCTTACACAGATTATTATCATTTGATGCATTGGAAAATACCTTTAAGAAGGCTAATGCCTACCTAATTTCTATGTTACAAATGGTTTTGATAGTTTATGGTTCAAATTTTCCCAGATGGTGACTTGTGGGTTTTGCTCATCAAAATAATGAAAAATCATGAAATGTTTTTAATCTCTATAACAGGAAATTTTCCCTTTTGAATTTAACTACTGAAATAAGTAGTGTTGCACATTTATTGAGTTGCATCTCTGTACGGTGGTGCCTTGACTTACAAGCTTAATTCACTCTTGACCATCTTTGTAACTCAAAAATCTTGTATCACAAATCATCATTCCCCACAAAGTGTTGCTTCACAATTTGTGTTTAAATATCTGTCGCTTAATGATCGATAACAAGACTATCATAAAAAACATTTTTAAGCCCCTCTAAAGTGTTTTCATGTGTGTGTTAGCATTAGGCTAGCAGACAGTGCTAAGACAAAGCTGTGTTGTTGTTTTAAACATGTATAGTTCTTTGTTTTACGTTTATTTTGACAGTAAACTCCATCTGTGTGTGATAATAAACAGCTTGACGCCACCTTTTGGGGGAAGAATTGTTCACAATGCCAAAAGTCTCCTGAAAGTCAAAACAAAAAATGGGCTGAAGTAAGTCAAGGTACCACTGTATTTGAACTACTTAAGTGTTGTGTTCAGGGTTGCCTGTGAAAAAACAAAACACCAAAGGGGTTTGGTTTTTTTCATGATGTATCGAAATCCCGATTGGGGTTGCTTAAAACAACAATAAGTTAATGTAAAATGTGGATACTTTTTAAGTTATTTTTCATTTCTATTTATAAGACAAGGGTCAAATGGTTTTACTCTCTATAAGAAGTGTTTGTGTTAATCCGCTGGTAAAAATAATTGCTGCCAACCAATTAGAACAACAACAAAGTTAATAATTGACATTATTAGCAAGAGTGTAAGGTTTTGTATATTTTGTGTGCCGCATGTGATTTTTTTCTTTTCTTTTTCATCCACATTTGGAGCAGATGTTTGTATGCTTTTTGTATAATATTGCGCTTTTCTATGTATTTTTCCTAAAAGTAACAAAATGTGAAGATAGTGAATGAGGTACAAATTCTGTCCATGAGTTAATTTTCATCCAGTGCCGAATGTATTTTGATAAAGAAAAAGGTGGAAAGTGTTGTTTGTGCAACTCGGAATGTACATGTGATAAACCCAAAGGAGTACAGAAATGACGAGAAAAAGATTATATAGATGAGTGGTGGGTAATCTGTGGCTCGTGGGCCATATACATGTCGTGAAATTATAACAAGCCCTACAAAATTTAACCTGCAAATATTAATAATACATAAAAAAATAAGCATTTGTTCACAACAAACTTTTCCATGTTTCGTCAAACATTTCATCATGAATTTGATCTGGCTCTGGGAGGACCATTAATACTTGACATGGCCCCCGAAAGGAAAAAGGTTCCCCACCCAGGATGGATGACATGTGGAGACATCTCAGTTTAGCAGTCATGTTAAAGCGATGTTTACATTACGTTCCTAGTGGCCACAAGAGCCCCATTGCATAAAATGTGGTATGCCATGGGACAATATTTGAAAAAAAAAATCTCACATCCCTGAGAATGTGAGATAAATATGCTGTCTGGCTCACTACAGACCATCAAATTGTGTTACTTGTGTTACACTCTGTTATGTATGGTCAGTTTTGGTAGTGTGCAACATTTTCTACGGCCGACGAGGTTTTTCATCTGCACCATGACAACTGTGGAAAATGTTCTGAGAGTTTAAATGTCTCGACGGGCAACCACGGTAAACACGGCCTGTAACGTTTACCTATCTCCCGTCCCTCCCCACCCAACCCTGTGTTGTCTCATGATCATGAAGGCTTGTCCATGGGGGCCCAATCCAACCAATCCCCCAGGGAATATGGGGATGCAATATGTTTAAAGAACAGTGTTTAAAGGCTACATATGGAATTTTGAAAGTCAACAAGCATTGTGGATTGTATTGAATTCTGGAGGTTCCACTGTAGAGCAGCAGTGTTGTTGTCCTTTCGCCTTGTCCGACGGTGATACACTCGAGTACTGTAGACAAATGTTCAAGAGAACGGTCTTCGAAAGCACAATTGTCTTTCATGTTGTTGTTACACTTTGTTTTGAACGAACACACAAGTGATATTTTTTGCGTCATTAAAAAAATAAAATAAAATCTGCAAAGCCACATTGATTTTGATGGTATGTGTGTGTACAGTTCTTTGTGAGATGATTGACAGTGGCTACTAACATTATGACGTTGGATGTTGATATCATCTGCTCACCCTGCATTCTTCTTTCAGGCTTTTAGTTTTTCCAGCTTCATGTGTGAGGACTTGTGGTTGCACATCGAACACTTTATGCAACCACGCTAGATAGGAAAAAAAAAAATACCCATCAGGAATGACATCCTCACTTGACAACGACTGAGCTGAGACATTTAAACAATTTCTTACATTCACTCAAGTTCACAAAAAAAAAAAAACGTCAGTGGAAACTACCTCATAGATTTTATCGCATCAGGTAGACCAGCACAATCATACTGAGATCTGTTTACATAAAAGCCATACTACCGTATTTTCCAGACTAAAAGTCGTTCCTGAGTATAAGTCGCACCAGCCATAAAATGCATAATAACGAACAAAAAAACATACATAAGTCGCACTGGAGTATAAGTCGCATTTTGGGGGGTAATTTATTTGATCAAATCCAACACCAAGAACATACATGCCATCATGAAAGGCAATTTAAAATTAAAATAAAATAGAAAACAACACGCTGAATAAGTATACGACATGCTAACCTTACATGACGCATAAACAACAAACTGAGAACGTGCCTGGTATGTTCAAGTAACATATTAAGAATTATTCAGATAACTATAGCATAAAGAACATGCTAACAAGTTCACCAAACCATCAATGTCACTCCAAATCACTAAATCCAATGAAATCTTCATCCCTCTGTGTCACTTTAAAACAACTCCACCAACTCCACCAACTCCGGAGGTAGAAGATGCAGCGCTTCCTCTTCTACGTCGCTTACGTCACTCATCGTGGTTTTATCAACACAGGTCTAGAGCGGCCTCTTGTGGTTAAATGTGAAAATAACATGTGAAATGATATAATAATGTGTTAATAATTTCACCCATAAATCGCTCCAGAGTATAAGTCGCACCCCCAGCCAAACTATGAAAAAAACTGCGACTTATAGTCCGGAAAATACGGTATATAAAAATATAGAAAAAAATATTTAACTTTTCTAAAAATTGGTTTGAAATGCACTACTGTGACTGTCCCTAAATAAAATCAAATGTAACGTAAAAAAAACAAAAAAAAAACCTCATACTGAAAAACATATGACAACATATATATATATTTTTTTACAGTGACACAAATATAGCTGTAAATAAGAAAAACTACTGTGAGGACTACTCACAAAATTGTATAGTGTTTGGCAGGTATCAGAAAACTCAAATCAATATGCTAGTTTGCTACAATTATGTCCTTTCAGCAACAAGATGTCTTTTTTTCCCCCCAACTCGATGCAATCATGCCGTGTTGTTACCTTCCATAAGAAGAAGCAGAGGACAGCCAACAGCAGCAGGCCGGCCACAACTGTCAGGAAGATGATCCACCAGGCCACTTTTGTGAAATATTCGTCTTCTCGCTCCAGGAACACTGTCACCTTCACCTGCACGCAACGATGCCCATGAATGAGCCTCAAAGTGGTGGGCTGCTAATTAAAATTCTAAGACTGTATTTGCTCCATTAAATTCAATTCAATGATTCTCAATAGTCCATTCTCTTAATTTGTTTGCGCTTTACTCAGCTGCACCGCTTATATGTCCGTGTTGTGTAGAATATACTTTGTGCAATCAGATGTTAGCTTCACTGTGTCGCCATGTCAATCTAATCGACTCATTGCAGATCAGTAGTGCTGAAAGATGTTCCTTAAACTCCATTAGAATTGCTTCAGCCAATGACATTTCAAGTTCACCTCAGAGGACCAGCTCGATAGCCTTCATTAAGGTCCGCATTTTTCTCTCCCTGATTGGTTGGTCAGAGCAAGCAAATTTTGACAAGCAAAACACATCGATGAAGTCAGGTCAGTCACCACTGAAGGCCCGAGTCTCAAATGTACAACTTGCCTCTGAAGTGTAATAATAGGCTGGCATAAAATATCATTGTGAGGCCCCAAAAGTCGAACAAAAAGTAGTAAATCCGGGAAATAGCTTGACCTTGGTGCGAAGCTTTTTCTCAGGGAGTCCAATGTTCTCTGGGGAGTTCGTGAGGGTGAGAGCAGCATCAACAACAATGTCCAAGTAATTCAGAGAGCTGTAATCCTGCCGGGGAAACATCATACATTGTTTTTAACGGTGCAATGCATTTCAAATATATGGTCAGAAAGCTTTTCCACCGCTGTCAGAGTAGAATTCCAAAGGCGTGCGTGGAGAACGATCAGTGCAGTGCTGTCCAATCCCACGACAGGACAGCGTAGTTCCTCACACTTGAGTCCATCGGAGCAGGACTGTGGAGGAAAAAAAGGTCACTTCTGAAGTTTTCATTGTCTGATCAATAATTCTTGTGGGAACCAGTCCAATGAGCAACTGAATCTTTTTATGGTTTATTACAAAGGAAACAAATATAAATTGGTAAATGAAGCAAAACCTAGGACAAATAATCAAACACGCAAATGATATCTAGGAAGAACGCTGCTAAATTAGCAACATTTACACACTGAACATCGCACTTCCTGTATTATGCTCAGGTAAGGTAAGTAAACATTTTTCAAATAGGGCGCGTCTGCCATGGAGCTAGCGGCCACCTTGCGCGCATGCAGTCTCATGCACACAATGAATGGGCTGGCCCACTCTTAATTTATTCAGGAATGAAAACACCAATTGGTAATTCTCACCAGGGTTTTGTATTTCCTTTTCGATGGAAGAAATAAGAATCCAGCAGTGGAAAGGGCATCATATTGGCCCTCGTGTTCAGCCTCGCGTCTTTCCCTTGAGGCTCCGTGCTGACCCTTAATGTCCAACGCATTAAGGTTATACATGAACCAAGTTGAATAATGCATAATTACTCGAATTGAATTACCCTCAGTTTCAGAGGATTTATTTGGTCAGCGGGTGTGCAGGAGACGAAATGCACTCCTGCACTAGTGACCTGAGTCAAGTACAGCAGCCGTGTCCCATCGGTGTTCTCCTTTGGCCAGTGAATGTCCAGGGAGGCATTGGCAAACGATTTGAGAGACCTGCCCTGGTTTGTTATCTGTTTGCAAGGACAATAAAATTCATTTAGTCCTGGACAAAAGACAGAAAAACATAACGCATCAATGAAATAAAGGGACACAGGAGAATCATACCTTAAATTCAAATTGAATTGGGGTTCCGATGTCATCAATAGTTTTTACAACTTTTTTGCCCATTAAGCCTTTAGTAAGTGACACTTGAGACGGTTTGGCGAGCCTGACAACAATTACATAAAATAAATACATAAATTATCACATTTAAAAATATATATATTCAAAAAATACAGTATTCGATGCGATAATGTGTGTGTTTTAAGAAAATGTGTGAGCTGATTGAAGCGTGACTGTGTACCTAATGTAGTGTCCAGTGAGTACATATACTGTACAGGATACAGTGGTACATTGGCTTTAAAAAAACCCAAGTGTTAAAAAACATAAACCAAAGAGAATTACACTTTGTGTATTTAACCAAATCACATGAACTTTGTCATACAAAACTCTGCTAGCTCAATGCTAACACACAATGCAAAACGTCATAGATGAGCTAACAAAGCTAGCATCAATGATGAGATAATTATAAACCTTTAAACAACTTAATTTTTAACACGAGTGGTACCATCACATTCAGAGTATACAACAATAGCCACTAGCATATATTCTTTATCCTTTGCAAAACAAAAACAGCCTCCTTCTCGGTATAATCATAAAATCCAGGGGGAGCATGTCTATATGTATTCTAGAAAGACCAGCACAATGCCCATTGAATTATTATTAAGTTGTTACTGTATGTTTTTATGGAATATAATACTGTTGAATTGCTACTTGCCTTATTAAAAAGCATGCTACAAAAATTATGTTTGTCTTTTTTGGTGTACTGGAACAGATTAATGGCATTTCCATTTAATTCAATGGGAAGACATGGTGTACACTCGATAAAGAAATGCAAAGATTACCCATAAACCTGCAGCCCCAGTTCAAAAACTACTTTGGCTGTAGCCTCGACTGCTTCTAAGGTCTGCACACTTGTCCTATATCACGAGAATGTAAAATTATAACATTAGTCAAGGCCGCAAACAGCAAAGCGAGCATAAGAAATACTTTACTTACGTCTGAAGTTGCAATGTGATGTTGACAGATTTTGTGCTTAGGGAGATGCCAGTTGTGGTGAGCATGACATAAAATTTAACCTGAAAAGAAAAGGAACAATAAATACATTAACAGACGGATTAAAGAAGTTGCAGCGGGCCATATTTGGTCACAAAAGTGGGTGTACAAGCCTCAGACATTTTTTTAAAAATATTGTCACATTGGGGTGTACAGCATTAGCAACAACTTACCCATTAGAAATATGTCAATCATAAAGGTTAATATATCAAGACTATAGAATTAGAAACACATAAAAGAAACAATTCAAATTAATACATTAAAATGAATCGCACATAAAAGTGAAACAACGTACCACAACTTTGAGAATCACTGCCCTAACACTCACTTGAGCATCTCTTTGAAGAGGGTTTCCCAGCTCACAGTCGATCACCGTTCCTTTATCGTTGCCCGAGCATGTCACCTGCGCCTCGTGGTAAAACAAAACTCATGTTTGTACTGTATACCATACAGTGTTTCAAATTGTAGCCACAATGTGCCGGTTGCTTCGAGTGTAGAGGTAAAAAGAAAAAAAAATGGAAATAGTCACATTTACTCCTTGCACTGGCGCCCTCTACATTTTCAGATTCAGTCAATATTTTTTGTTTACATGGGAATTTAAGTAGTCCCCTGTGTCCCCTCCCCCGATTTTTTAAACTGTAAACAGTATTTATTAGTCATATTTTTTCCAGCCGTGTCATTATGTGAGCATGTCACTAATACCAACGCAGCTCTGTTACTTTTATTTACTCGGGAATATTTTTTTTTCCAATAGCTCAGTTTGTTGTTAACTTGTCTGTGTAGTAGCTAACACACCTAGCATACATGCTAAAGCCATAATGCTAAAATTAACACTGGCTTTCTAGACTGTTACTTGCAACAACATAAAAAGCTATACAAATAAAATTGACTTTTGACTTGTGGTTCACTCACCGACGTTGAGGCGTAAACAACAGAGGAGTAGCGAAGAAGATCTGGCAGGTTGACGACCACGTGACTTTGGTGTGCGTCCTCCCCGTCTGAGTTGCTAACGATGATCTCCAAGGCCACGTCCTCACCAGAAGGAGTGATGACTGCGACACCGTCCTCTCTAAAGAAAAGACACACATTGTTTTAAGTGAAAGACAAGACAAGACTCCTTCTACTTTTATACTCCTACTTTTGTGAGACCATCATCTCCTCACCTGACCAGTGATTGGAAAATATCCTGATGTTTTTGGGTTTTCCTTGCACAAAACTTATACTGAAGCTCCAGGTTACTGTGGCAAACGTTGTCACTGCCGCAGCCTTCGTTGATAAAGGTTATCTAGGACAACCAAACAGTAAATAGTCCTCAAGTATCATGAAACTTGGCTTGGGTTTCCCACATAGATGTTTGTACCTCTGACACGGGGCTTTTTTCCTGGTAGAGGTTAAGCACGGGAGTAACGTCAGGCAGTTCAACGTTTGTCCTCGCCTTTGGACTTGAGCTCAGCAAAGACAGAGTGACGGAGACTGGGATGCTGTGCAACCTGTCTCTAGTGTCCCGCTGCAACCAAAGAGTTTTGCTTCATGATAACCAGGATTTGACACACAGCAAGAAGAGTAAGACCGCACAGTACACTAAAGGGACTATGTGGAAGCAATTATCGACCATGAGCACGGAGACAAGATGAGCTGTTAAAAATGAACAGTATTGTAACAAAGTTGCCAGACTACCCCCCCCC